TGTAATGTGGTGTGATTTGTGAGGAAAGAGCAAAGCCTCCATTGTGGTCAATAACTTAATGCGTTCACATGCATAATTAACTCCACGCTAATTAATCACCAAGTTACATTTTACCTTTGAATTCTTTTTCTTTTTTATTTAAGTCAAACTTTAATACTTTGGCTTTAATCTTTCAAACTTTGTGTTCTACGTAAAACATGTGGAACGGATATCAGATTTAACATTTATATGGTTAGACAAGATGAAATACTTGTTCAAGGGAAGTAATGGTGCTTCAAATGATAAGAGTATAATCACAATCTAAATTATGTGATCTTCGTTTTGGACAGAGCTTGAAACGAAGTAATTTTCTAAGAGATCACCGTTCTCATATGTGCTTGTTATATGTTATTCTTTTTAATTAACTTGGATTCCTTGCCAGTTATTAAACAAACGTCCATTATATATAAAACATATTACAATAATTTACATAAAAATCAGCACATTGTGTGAAAAGAAGAAGATGTAACTTATAGGTTAAGTAAGCAAATATTGCCAGCATTTCTCCTTCATTCTTTCACTTCAATGATATATTAAACTTGAAGGAGGGGTTAGAAAATTCAATCAAAACTTTTATAGTTTTCTACTGTAATCTTATTGACTAAATTATAGATTTGTGAGGAAAGAACAAAGCCTCCATTGTGGTCAAGAACATAATGCATTCACACGCATAATTAACTCCACGCTAATTAATCACCATGTTTATGGTACTTTTTACTTTTGATTTTTTTTTTTAGTCAAAATTTATTAGTTTGGCTTTAATCTTTCAAACTTTGTGTGCTACGTAAAACATGTGGAATGGATATCAAATATAACATTTATATGGTTAGACAAGATGAAATACTTGTTCAAGGGAAGTAATGCTGCTTCAAATGATAAGAGTATAATCACAATCTAAATTATGTGATCTCCGTTTTGGGCAAAGCTTGAAACGGAGTAATTTCCTAAGAGATCACTATTCTCATATGTGCTTGTTATATGTTATCCTTTTTAATTAACTTGGATTCCTTGCCAGTTATTAATCAAACGTCCATTATATATAAAACATATTACAATAATTTACATAAAAATCAGCACATTGTGTGAAAAGAAGAAGACGTAACAAAGAGGTTAAGCAAGCAAGTATTGCCAACATTTCTCCATCATTCTTTGACTTCAATGATATATTAAACTTGAAGGAGGGGTTAGAAAATTCAATTAAAACTTTTATAGTTTTCCACTGTAATCTTTATTGACTAAATTATAGATTTGTTAGGAAAGAACAAAGCCTCCATTGTGGTCAAGAAATTAATGCATTCACATGCATAATTAAATTTAAATCCACGCTAATTAATCACCATGTTTATGGTACTTTTTACTTTTAACCTTTTTTTTTTTTTTTTTGGTTATCAAGTTTAATACTTTGGCTTTAATCTTTCAAACTTTATGTGCCACGTAAAACATGTGGAATAGATATGTATCAGATATAACGTCAAGCATATTTGCATACTTGCAAGACAAAAGTATATGGAACCCACATTGAGATCAAATCAATAAAACTTGTGAATATCACTTGATTCCATTGATTTCTCCACAAAAAATTTACATTAAAATGTAATAAACAAAAGAACGAGAAAAATTGAAAAGAAAGAACTGTCCATGAATCTATCATACTGCAGTGATCACTTGATTTCAGATTTGCTAAATTAGTTTGAAACCGTGGGAAACGAAAACTGTTATTTTTTTTTACATATTTATTATTATTATTATTGTTTTTTTTTGCACGGCTTCTGATGAGGTGAATTCATTCTAGTGAAAAAGTACACTATTAGTGGAAGACTTCAGAATTTACTTTATTAATGTGAACCATTGAAGTTAATTGGATGTATGAAAAGTTGTAACCCACGATACTTTTTATTTACTTTATAGATAACTTCTAGCTCCAAGCATTACAGATGGTATTGACATATTGTTAAAATCATTCCTAATTTCTTGATGATTTAATGGTGATGAACAAACTCTCTCTTTAATTTCTAAATTGAACTTGAAACAGGTGCCGAAACAGAGTGAATAACTAAAGTAATTAGAATTGTGGACACTAGTAATATTTCTCAACAATTTTTCTGGAACCATACCGATATATATCAATAACTTCAGTGCCATGATGACAATGAGCTCTAATGACCATAAAATGGATATAGGTTACATGTAGGATTCATTTCTTGTGAATAAAGGTCAACTTGTTGAATATAACACAATTCTGAAGTTTGTGAGAGTCATATACCTTTCAGAAAATACTTTCTCACGAGAGATTACTATGGAAGTGACAAATCTTACAACATTGCAATCACTGAATCTATCACACAATTCTTTTACCGGTAGAATTCCTGGGAATATAGGTGCTATGACATTAGTGGAGTTGATTGATTTCTCCACAAATCAACTTTCTGGTGAAACCTTATTTTGAATGTACTGAAATGGGTGTAATAGAAATTATAAAAGAGTACAAAGTTTCTGCTAATTATATTTTTTGTCACTTCTCCGGATTGAATTCTGAGATGTATTTTTCATCATGTGCAATCCGTTTCTCATCGGCATTTTCAATCATAGGGATCATTGTGCATATAGTAATTTCTACTCCTCATGATTTTAACTTTCATGCAAATGTATTTGATCCAAAACACATTCACTTGATTGAGGAATATAAACTTGTAAACTAATTACGTTGTCAATGTAAAGATCAGGTGATGCTGAATCACAGTAAGTTGCCATGGAAGGATACTAGTATCAGTCTCAGAAAACTGTTTCAGTGCAGCGCCAAAAGCCTTTATTATATTGAATCAATTGGTTCTCACAAGTGGAATCATAATTGCTTCATAGATACCGATTCTTTTGGAGCACCATGTATCTGAAATTATAAAGAAAGCCTTGAGGAAATGAGTTTGAAGACCTCTCCCAGAAGATAATTTTTGGAACAGAAATTATTGAAATGTTCTATATCTTTTCTTTCTCCTAAATGTTGTGTGAAATGTTGAAATGGGCAGTTAGAAAAATCAAAGTTTCATATTTTGTCCTCTTTAATTGACTTGAAGTCTACTCTGTTAATTGGACCTACTAAAATTAGAAGTATTTGCATCTTTTCTAAAATGTGTAATGAGATATTATTGATCATGTGAAAATGATACCAATTATTTTGTTTTTTTTTCTTTCTTTAACAGAGCAATTTTTCAAGATTATTTATATTTTCCACGTCAATATTATAAGGCACGGGGTCCCATATCTTTGAAATTTTGATGCAGAAGTAAATATTATGATACTTTCTATTTACTTCATAGATAGCTTCTAGTGCGAAGTATTTTCCAAGTACTTTAATCATTCTTAATTTCTTGGTGATAAACAAACTTTCTCTTTAACTTCTAATTTGAATTGAAATTGAAACAAGGGCCCGAAACAGAGTAGATAACTAAAGTAATTAGAATCGGACACTAGGAATATTTCTCAACAAACTGAGCAAATATTACACAACTTTATAAAATATGAACGGCAAGCTATAGAAAATTTATAGAAGGCATGACTGTCGTTGGTTAAAATTTTGATAGACAATATGTCGTCAAGCTTTATACACAAATAAATGGTAAACATTATATGCTAACTCGCTCAAAGAATGTTTTGGACTTGGAGAAGAGATTTTTTGTTAGGTGTGAATTATAATGTGGTGTGATTTGTGAGGAAAGAGCAAAGCCTCCATTATGGTCAATAACTTAATGCATTCACATGCATAATTAACTCCACACTAATTAATCACCATGTTTACGGTACTTTTTACTTTTGAATTTTTTAAAGTCAAAATTTAATACTTTGACTTTAATCTTTCAAACTTTGTGTGCTACGTAAAACATGTGGAATCGATATCAAATATAACATTTATATGGTTAGACAAGATGAAATAGTTGTTTAAAGGAAGTAATGCTGCTTCAAATGATAAGAGTATAATCACAATCTAAATTATGTGATCTCCGTTTTGGACAAAGCTTGAAATGGAGTAATTTCCTCAGAGATTATTGTTCTCATATGTGCTTGTTATATGTTATCCTTTTTAATTAACTTGGATTCCTTGCCAGTTATTAAACAAACGTCCATTATATATAAAACATATTACAATAATTTACATAAAAATCAGCACATTGTGTGAAAAGAAGAAGATGTAACACAAAGGTTAAGTAAGCAAGTATTGCCAGCTCTTCTCCATCATTCTTTGACTTCAATGATATATTAAACTTGAAGGAGGGGTTAGAAAATTCAATCAAAACTTTTATAGTTTTCTACTGTAATCTTATTGACTAAATTATAGATTTGTGAGGAAAGAACAAAGCCTCCATTGTGGTCAAGAACTTAATGCATTCACATGCATAATTATATATAAGTCCACGCTAATTAATCAACACGTTTATGGTACTTTTTACTTTTAATTTTTTTTTTTTTTTGGTTATCAAGTTTAATACTTTGGCTTTAATCTTTCAAACTTTGTGTGCCACGTAAAACATGTGGAATTGATATCAGGTATATCATAAAGCATATTTGCAGACTTGCAGAACAAAAGTATATGGAACCCACATTGAGATCAAAAAATTTACATAATAAAATGTAATAAACAAAAGAAAGAGAAAATTTGAAAAGAAAGAATTGTCTATGAGTCTATCACACTGCAGCAAATATTATTTCGGGTCAATTGACTATGAGGCCATGGGGGTCCCTTATCTTTGAAACAGGGGATCTTGGAGCCACGTGGCCCACTGACATCTTTAAAATCTTGATGTTATCAGTAAAGATCAAAGAGATTTCCTGCAAGTTTTAAAATTGATTTCTGGACAAACTAGTTGAGTGGTTCAGTGAATGGAAACTCTATAAATAGCAGGCCACTAATAATAATATTCTCATGCACAATTCCTTTACCATAAACTTCTCCTATGCAAATGAAAACCATGAGCATTTTTCTTGCCTTTCTTTTCATTTCCACAACCCTCAACATTAGCTTCTGCGGAGGAAGCTCTTACCGGGGTTGCATTGAAATTGAGAGACAAGCTGTTTTAAGGTTCAAGAAAGATCTGATAGATCCTTCCAACCTGCTTGCCTCTTGGACTTCTGGTCATGCAGATTGCTGTACATGGTCTGGCATTTTTTGTGACAACTTGACGGGCCATGTCCTTGAACTCAACCTTACAACTCCTCCGTTGATTTCTATAGTTGATTCAACTATGAGGCCAAGGCTGGGTGGTAAGGTAAATCCCTCTTTGCTTGATTTAAAGCATTTGCGCTCGTTGGACTTGAGCTTTAATAATTTTTCTGGAATTCAGATTCCTAAATTTCTTTGTTATATGCACAATTTAAGATACCTTGATCTTTCTGCAAATTCTTTCCAAGGTATAATTCCTCACCAGCTTGGAAACCTCTCTAATCTGCAGTATCTTGCCCTCGGTTCTGGTTCAGATGTTGACGATGTAGGGTGGTTAACTAGTCTTTCTGTTTTAGAGGTTGACAATTTAGGGTGGTTATCTAGTCTTTCTTTGTTGAAACACCTTGACTTGAGTGGTGTAAATCTCAGCGAATCCTCTGATTGGCTGCATGTGATCAATACACTCCCTTCTCTAGTAGTGTTAAAATTGAGTTTTTGTGAAATCCATCATTTTCCTCAACTACCCATTGTAAATTTTTCGTTTCTTGAGACCCTTGATCTGAGTGCTAATCATTTTGAAGGTCCAATTCCTTATGGACTTCAAAACTTGACTTCCCTTAGATATCTTGATTTATCTCAAAATTATTTCAATTCTTCAATACCCAATTGGTTTTACAGACTTAGCCGTCTCCAGAGACTTTCTCTTGGTAGTAATTGGTTGAAAGGCACGTTGGGGATTCTAGGAAAATCTGACATCTATAGAAGAGCTTGATCTCTCATCAAATGGATTTGAAGGTGGAATCCCAAAATCAATGGGACGACTTTGCAACTTAAGGTTAATCGCTCTCTTATATGTCAATTGAAGCCAACCAATATCTGATGTCCTTGATATTTTTTCTAAATGTGTTTCAGACGTACTAGAGATTTTGGATTTAACTGAAAGTCAAGTTTTTGGTCAATTTACTGATAGACTTTGACAATTTAAAAAGTTAGATACTCTTTATCTGTTTAACAATTCTATTTCAGGTTCTATTCCATCCTCTTTAGGAGAACTATCGTCGTTAAAATATCTTCATATTGGGTTTAATAAATTGAATGGAACTGTTTCTGAGATGCATTTTTCCAATCTGACAAGATTATAAGAATTTTATGCATATGAAAATTCATTAATATTCCAAGTCAGTCCTTATTGGGTTCCTCCTTTTAAACTTGAAGTTCTAGGATTGAGATCTTGTCATTTAGGGCCTCAATTTCCACCGTTCACAAAAGCATTTACAATATCTTGACATATCCAATTCAGGAATTAAAGATGTTGTTCCAACATGTTTATTCAAAATTCCTTTCAATTTTGTAAATCTCTCTCACAACCAACTCTATGGGCAAATTCCAAATTTAACAGAGTCCACTCAACTTGAGGTGCTTGACTTGAATTCAAATCATTTATCAGGTTCATTGCCTCTTTTACCCTTCAACTTGTATCGACTTGATCTTTCCAACAACATTTTGTAAAGATCAATTTTCCATTTGTTGTATCATAAGATGAATGAGTCAGAGCGCAAGATGCAAATTCTCATCCTTAATAACAACTTTTTGTCAGAAGTTATACCTGATTGTTGGATGAATTTGAAAGCCTTAAAAGTCTTGAATTTAGGTAACAATAGATTCACGAGTAAGCTTCCAGCTTCTATTCGGACTTTAGGTTCTCTTAAATGGTTAAACCTTCGCAAAAACCACTTTTCTGGAACAATTCCTGTGTCACTCAAAAATTGTACACAGATGGTGTCGCTTGATTTGGGTGAAAATGAGTTTGTTGGAAATCTCAAGGTGTGGGTTGGAGAGAGATTTTCAAGAATGAAGATTCTCAACCTTAGATCAAATAAGTTTTCTGGCCATTTACCAAAAGAACTTTGTAATCTTCATTCTCTGCAAATCTTAGACCTAGCAGATAACAACTTCTTTGGAACCATACCAAGATGCATCAATAACTTTAGTGCCATGAAGTCAAAGAGCTCTAATGAGGAAAACGATATGAATTATGAACCTGATGCAGGTTATTTATCAACATATTTGGAGAGTGAACTACTTGTGAAGAATGGTCAAATGGTTGAATACAACACAATTTTGAAGTTCGTGAGAGTTATAGACCTTTCAAAAAATAAGTTATTCGGACAGATTCCTATGGAAGTGACAAATCTTTCAAGATTGCAGTCATTCAACCTGTCACACAATGATTTTACTGGAAGAATTCCAGAGAACATTGGTGCTATGAGATATGTAGAGTCTATTGATTTCTCCAGAAATCAACTTTCAGGTGAAATCCCACAAAGTCTTTCAAGTTCGACATTTTTGAGGGACTTGAACTTATCCAACAACCACTTAACTGGAAGAATTCCTTCAAGCACTCAATTAAGTGGCTTTGATGCATCCTGTTTTACTGGAAACCAACTTTGTGGACCTCCACTTCCTAATAATTGTACTGTGACTGTTCCAACACTCAACGGTCATAACAGAGGAGAGAAAGATGGTAATGAAGATGAAGTGAACTGGTTCTTTGTGAGCGTGGCACTTGGATTTATTGTGGGATTCTGGAGTTTTATAGGTTCTCTACTCGCCAGCCAAAGATGGAGGTACCTGTATTGTCAATTCTTGAATGGCCTCCAGGACAAACTGGGCAATGCTGTAAGAAAATGTTACTAGAAGATTTTTTTTTTTTTTTTTTTTTTTCTCTTCTATTGGAGCTTAGTTTGTATGTACTGAAAAAAGGCGTAAGTAATGGTTTGAACGTGTGTCATGAAATGATATTTGCTATCATTTTTACAACCAAAAAGATTACAACACGCTGATCAGTGACTAGAATTGTTGTAGAATGATTAAACTTTTTGTTTTAATTGGGCATGCAAAAATTGAATAGACGACATAAATATTAATAAATACAAATTTAGCGGCAAAATCTAATAACAAAGGTAGAGAAAAGTGAATATCTATTTAAAGGAAGAATAATACTACACATACATCATTCGTATACAACATTTCTCATACAACATTACGTGACAAGATATGATTGGGTGAAAGTTTAATTTTAACTTTAAATTAGTCAATCATATCTTACCACATAATGTTGTATGAAAATGATGTATGTGTAGTATTACTAAGCTTAAAGGAATATATACAAAATTAAGTATACAAAGTGAATATATATTGACACTGATCTATCTCTCTTTGATGAGTTTACTTTACATTTTCACTCTCTAAACCATAATATGACACATCACTGTATACACTACGACATGGAAGAGAAAATCTAGGGTTGTCTATGACAATGTAGTAAACAAGTTTAGAAAACAGAGATATAAATTTGAAAATCCAATATATTTAGAACGAAACTTCATAATAGATATAAAAAAATTATCAAATAGCTCCAAAAAAAAGTTATTAATACTATAAATAATCAATTATCAAATAACTCCAAAAAAAAAAAAAATTAATACTATGCATTTTCAACAGCTAAGCAATAAATGGTCTGAATATATATTATTAATACTATGCATTTTTAATATCTTTCTTATCAACCACTAATCACAACCTTGTATTTTGTTTAGGTAAATATTAAATCATTAGTGTTTGGAGTTTAGCTTGAATGTGCTAAAAAGGGATTAGACCAGTGGTAGGAACATTTGAGACATGATGAAATCATATTTGCTCTGTCTTTTTTACAGACTACAGGTATTAATGCATTCATTTCTGTCTGAGTTGGACATGCAAACCTTGAATTTATGAATGAATGAAAAAATTACAATGATAAGGTAAAATTTACTAACAAAGAAATAGAAAACATGAAAATGAAAAAGAAATGACCAAAGAATATATGTAATTAGAGAAAAGTTTCATACTTGCAAAACAAATATAATTAGAACAAAATTGATAGAAGATGTAAGAATGACCTTATAAAATTCAATTATAAGAAAACTTGCACGGAAATTTATTAATAAATGATCTCAATATAAATGATGTTTATCAGATCATTGAGTATCTGATTTACCCTTAATCCATTTAATTATTTAGTTTAGTTGAGCCATGGCACATATATTTCATTCGAGTGAAACAATACTCCAGTAGTGGGAGACTTAAAGAAAATTAAAACATATCTGATGTTCTGCAGGTTTTTCCAAGGACCCATCTGAACTTGGTAGGTGATTTTTATTTAGATTATCATCATTTCCTTTCAATTCCCCACTCTAAACGGAGTGCAAAACAGGAGATGCGAGTTTCGGGACACTTGCTATTACTGTGCAATGCCAAAAGCCTAATTAGAAATTCTTCATAGATACCGATTCTTTCTGCATGGAGAAGCATATATCTGAAACTATAAAGGAAACAATTATGAGTAATGCTACAGTTACTGACTGGTGTATACCGATTTTGTGCACCGAATGACGTGGCACAATCCTGACCGTTTATTTATTATCAGTTAATATTAATCAACGGTCAGGATTTTGCCACGTTATTCAGTGCACAAAATCGGTATACACCAGTCGGTAGCTGTAGCATTTTCCAACAATTATACGGTTAGACAGGAAGAAATACTTGTTCAATGTTGCTTGATGATCAAGACTCGGGATAATATATGAAATCTAATTATAGAAATAGTACTAGATATTCTTTGTTTTATTATCTTTTTGAATGCAAGGCCACAGGGGTACCATTAATTGAATTGAATAAAGAAACCAAAAGACTTTTGAATAATATGATCAATGATGAATACTTTTCAAAAGGAAAAAACAAAACCACTTCCAGTACTTTTCTCTCTCTTTTTTGAAGCAAAAAGATGAAGAACCCTATACTCACAAATCCCACATTTTTCTGTCTTCCATAAACAGACTTCAATTTTTAATCTTCAAGACTGACTCTTGATTTTCTCTCCCCCTTGCTCACAAAGAAACCCACATACCCATTTCAAGAGACGGTTTTTTAGACATCATTTGTGAGTTCCAACAATGGAGGATGTGGTACAACTTGGCGTTGAAGTGAGACAAGAGTTGCTGGTTTCTCCAAGTGATGGGATTCCTACAAAGAAGCTAGCCCATTTTCTCAAACCTACCATAAAATCTTCAAAAGGTGTGGTTTTTGAGCTTCCTCCCCACTGTCTTGACCATTTGCCGTCCACTTTTGGGCCAAAAAAGTGGCCTATCATGGATGGAGGTTCCCACAAACAGATTGGAGAAAATGGGTGGAAAAAATTGCTGCTTTACTTGAATGTACATGGGAGAAAGTTGGTATACGAGAAGCGATCTTGAATTCTATCTATAAAATTAAGAGAAATGATGATTTGGTTCTTGGTCTTGCAGAGCAATGGTGTCCTGAAACTAAAAGTTTAATTTTTTCTTGGGGTGAAGCTACAATCACTCTATAAGATTTGCTGATTGCAGGGTACTCAGTGTTGGGGTCCCTTGTTTTTTGCCCTGTAGAAACAGATGAGTTGAATGAGTTGGAAGAGAAATTGAATCAAGCAAGATCAGAACTCAACAAGAGTACAAGCAAGAAGGCAGTACGTAGTTCATGGATGAAGAAATTTATGATACTGGAAACGAAATTGAACACGAAGCTTTTCTTGCCTTGTGGTTCTCAAGGTTTGTTCTTAGCCCCTATAATCTAGTTGTTAAATCTGTATTTCCTATTGCGATACGTTTAGTTAGACGGACTAGAATTGCACTTGCACCTGCTGTTCTTGCCAGCATTTACAAAGATTTGACTTCATTTAAAGAAAAGATTGTT